AGAGCGGAGGTTGCGAGGTGGGGAGTAGGGCGATAAAAGTTCAGACAGGTATTGAGGTGCCAAACCATGTAAAGCCTTATAGGTGAGCATGAGGATTTTAAAGTCTATGCGGAATTTGACCGGAAGCCAGTGCAAGGACTCCAGGATAGGAGTAATGTGAACACTTGCACTAGACCTGGTCAGGATTCTGGCTGCTGAATTGGTACCAAATTAAATTCCAAATATTCTCAATACTAACAGTTTCAATATCATGTGATAACAGTGTGTAATAAATCAGTCCTTTGTAACAGTTCTTCCAACTGAATATATTAAAGTCTCTTGAATACCACAAATAAACCATTTAATCAATCATTCAGTTAATCATTTTCATTTTAGAATTCACCAATTTCTAAAGACAATACTCTTATTAAACATGAATAATGTGTAGGCATGGGTAATAAGGCGTTGCACATCAAAAGTCTTAAAGTACTAATGGATACAAACAATTTACAATGTGAATTATCCCGAAACAACACAATACTATCAAGTGCTTAAAATACAATTTTGAAGAACCCTTTTTCCTCAATCATTAAAAAATGTACATCAGAATGTGATAAAACAAAAGCCAGCACGGCATTAGTAGGAAATGTTTCCTAATAAATCATTGAGATATAGGTGTTATGTTTTATGCTAATCATTCCAATAGCTATTTAAAGAATGTGTGGATTCTAAAGGGCAATACTTGTTGGCTCTTTCACCGCTTTTTTCTTAATATCCTTGTATGAAAGCAATATCAAACAAGGCCCAGAGAAAAGCAAATATAAAAGTTGCTTGATTTTTGATGTTTCATTTTTAAAAAAGAAACTTTTTTAAAGCACCAATAAAATAGCAAACTCCAGATTTAAACTCTGTAAAAACCCAGTCTTGGCTAGGATGTTTATGAGTATATCACCATGAGCACCAAGAGTTTATATCTAAGCCTACCAGAGTTTGCATTGTCATCTATCTTTTCTGAACTTTACAGAAAGTGTCAGTGCCATTTCCCATCTGGTTCTAGATACTCTCTCAAAACTAAGCAAAAAGTCAATCTGACACATTAAATCAGCAGTGAAATGTGAAAAAATACTTCAAGTATCACCTGAATTTCACAGGACACTTCCCTATTCTTTCAGTAAGAAAGGAAGAGGCTGCTGTGACAGTTTTCATACATGACAAGATGAACATTGTCACAGGCAGCTGACTACAAATAGCAGCACTATCTGTGTACACAGCACTGCTATCTTTATATATGTGTATTAATGTACCCTGGTATGAAATATTCCACATAAAAAGTACTTACTAGTATAACACTTCATTTGCTTCATGCCTTTCATATCGCACAGTTTCACACATTAACCTGAAAAAGAGGAAAGGTACATTACACAACATTTTCAAATTTGGTTGTCATTTGTATGTGTTACTTTCTCAACATATTTTAAGAAGCCTCATTCATAATAATAATTCCTTGGCACGTGCCCTTCTGTATCATCTACCCTTCTGCAGTTGCTTCTACAGTCCGAATTTAGGCCACAAAGTAGGCCTATGCACCTAATTATAGACTTAGGCAAGAATATATTGTACTTGCAAAGTTCAGTGGTCTGTTAGGCTACCTTACCTTACTTTCACAAAGACAGTAAGATAGGAAATATAATTTTACTAATATTTACTCTTCTGTTCTGGTCATGTCATATCAATAAAGAACCCTAATTTCAAACTCATGAAGTTTAGAAAAGAGGCCATTTTAGTGTTAGTACCTAACGTACCAGACATTTCATCTATCCCTTTCTTGACAAAAAAAAACAAGATGTCTGCTTTACTAAAGCAGCTAGGTACCTTGTTTGAGATTGCTCTAAGCTTTTACTTACTTATACAAAAGAGCCTCCTGTTCACAGTTTTAAATACACTTCCTTTTATTTACCACTTATATCCTCTGGCTTATATTTCACCATATACTGATAATGATGAAGTAATTTGAGGTAATTGTTAAGGTTTTCAAAAAAACAATGCATATTTTAATCAGGTCTCTACATAGTCTACATGTTTTGTTCAAGACTAAAAATATATTTTTTTATTACTGTGAGTATAAGACATTCCTGCCAGTGAGCATATCTGGTTGTTCTGCTCTAAACTGACTGTAATGCTACATTATTTTTTTTTGTAATGTGGCAAACAATCTTGCACAAATTATATTTAAATTAAGTCTTACAGTGCATTGTACAGTTATAATATAACATCTCTTGATTTACACCCGACTATCTAACATGTATTATTGTTTCCCCTCATGTTGTCTCCCCCGTAATCCTAAATTGGGAGAAGTGGTTAGAAAATGGATGGATTGAAACACCCCCGTTCAACTGTTAGCCTAAATTGGAAACCTTGGGGTGACATTAAAAATCTCTTCAAAGTTAAACATCACAGAGGTGGTGACTAACCCCCAAGCTTTCTGATTTTCTCTCCTTACATTACAGTTTGCTGACAGCACAGACAGCGGAGTGTAAATGACTAGCAAGTACTTCATTAGATGTAACAAGGAAGATACTATGACTTTACTATCGAACCACACTAAGTATATATAAACTTCACTTTATAATTATAAAGTTGGTCTTTGTCCAGCAGCCCTCAGCATTTTTTTTGTTCCACACTCAGAAACCATTTTCAGAAAACTATTTGCAAAAGATAATAAAAATAACTAGAAGACAACAGCTCACAAGAGTTTCTAAGTACTGAAATTAGATGCATCAAAATGGTGTACCTATCTGAAGCTTTATATATTCCAGGAAAATATTAGAAGTTCCTTACACTAGTTACTTAACAACCCAGCCATAAGCACTGTTAAAAACCGCTGAATGCATCAGTATGATACATGAATGGTCCTGTATCTAACAGCACCTTGAAATAACAAAAGGTGCAACTATTTTCTGAATTTGTTGCTCTGTCAGTAAACTTCCTTCTGAAATGTTATTATAAAAAAAGCTTTTCAATATATCATTATATGTATAATGTTTGTATTTAAAATCCTAGCATTATAGGAATTCTTAAGGAATTTATCAGTGCAAATAAAGTGTAATTTTTCTGTTAACAGCACATGTTCTCTTACCTTAATTGATGCTCTCTCAAGTTTGATAAAGCTTCCATTCCATGTAGATAAGAATACACAATCTCCAAGTCCTGTAAAGGGAACATTAGAAAATGTAATTAAAATAATCATATCCATACAGTGACAAAATCAATACTACTATCACAAACGTATCAGGTCTCAAATTACCTAAACAGTCTTATTTGTGTTTGTAGACCGTACCAGTTACCCATCAGAAAAGATAACTAAACGTAATTGTCCTATATAATAATAGTATGTGTTACAACTATCAATGTAATAACTGTGCAGGTTAGAGTGGTTGCAGCGTCAGTGTTTGAGCTGCAGAAGAACAAATAAAGGCTAATTCCAAACCAAGAAGTGAAAAAAGACAAAATAACATTTTGGCTATGGAGCCTTCAGGCAAGTTCATTCTTGTTGGCATGGAATTAACCTGCTGAATATTAAAACTAAATTAATGCCTTGTCGAGAGGAGATTAGCCTTCAAAGCCTAGATTCACGTCACTTACACACTGGGGTGTTCATAGCCAGCAATTTCTAACCTAGCAGGGCATAATGGCCATATCCAGCAATAAGTCACCATTTGGCAGACCATACCTCAGTAAGATTAATACATCATCCATTGGCAGAAAAGTCTAGTCACTAACACCAATGCTGATTAATGGTAACCTGTCTGTACACATGCACTATACTGATCGAGCTCTGGGACCACACTTGTTGCACTTATCTTAAGATGACATTCCCCCAGGATAACACACATCCTCATACAACTTGAGTAAATGCAGCTTTCTTGTGAGATCAGAATGTGACTATTAAGTCCCAATTTTCCCAGTTAAATGCTATTTAAAATCTATGGGATGAGTTAGGATGACTTGTGCCCTGGTTCTAACAGAGAAAGGGGACATAACCACACAAGACAACATCGGCAACCAGATGTAGAGTTTATTTTGCTTCCAATAGTGACCACACACTCTTCTAGCCTGTGATTTCACAGTGGACTCCTGTACATGAACCGGCCAAGTACTTAATCACAGGCTAATTTATTTCAGGTTTTAATTTCTATAATTACATCTATTAAAATTGGGATTTGTTATAGAGCACCCTGACAAAAGTGCTCAGATCCAAAAGCCCCAGAACAAGTGTGAAAAAGAAACCAAACAATTGATTGTAAGAGCAGTTTATGAGAAATTGATAAAATGTTTAGGCCTGCATATTTTCATTAATAATACTTAATGATCTGTAATGATTTGGTAGTTCTTAATAAACAAGGTTTATTTATCTATAAATTTCAAGCCTTTCATGGTTTCAAATCAATAAATGCTATTTCTGCAGGTCCATTATGACCTGCATTTTTCCTATATTTCTTAAAATACCTTAAAACAATTAAGATATGTGGTTTTCATGTGACAATTTTGTCAGATTACATTGCGATTAACATGAACCTTGTACCAATTTCTGTTTCAGAACTGCATTCATTCAGGTCTCTTGCCGTAAATATAAGATAACCAAGTGGACCTCTGCAAAGGGCTCATTGTGGGAGTGGTTTGATACATTATCATTTCTGCAGCTGTTCTTCATGAACTATTCACTTACTAAGAGCTACAAACAGTAGAAGTAAAGATTAGCACATTTACAAAAGGCTGCCTATAAATTACTTAAGCTGACGCTGTTGGCAAGGGTATCCTTTTTGTAGGTATTTTTGATCTCTGGACCAAGTTAACCAAGTTTGAACAAGGAAGCAGATCAATTAAAGTTATCAATCATGACTGCAGATTTTGAGCTCAGCTGGAGCGTAAACCAGTAGGTAGTGGTCTCTCAGGAGCACAGTTAGGAAAGTGCTGTAGATGACAAATCTTCATCCACATAATGAATTTCCCAATGTCATGTCTGTTCAATAAAATGTCATTGAATCTGCTGCACAAAATGGCACTTTCCAGATAATTTTCTGAATCTGTTGTAGTTACAAGTGATATGTTTCTTCTGGTACTCAGTATAACTTATCAAGGACATAAATTGTTTGTCGCTAAACAAAAACATGAAAACGTGTACAAGAAAATACCTTAAATTGCACCTTACACAAAACAACTGTTTCCAGTTGATTAAGTGCAGTGCATTTCGATAGCTGTAGTGCGTTTTGAAAGAATAGAGGCATAAAGCAGATACTGCGGTCAACACGCATTACTTAAACCAAGGGGTCATTAACATGGAGAGCAAATGCTGCAATGCAGTTAGGTTCACACAGAATCAATTTGCTTCACTTTCATATTCATCTCACAGAAATACATATCTTGTACTCAGGTCAGACAGAGCAGATGGGTGGGATTTCCTACTATTTATTTTTTCAGTAAACACTGCGTAGTACAGACGCACTTAAATGCTAAAAGGGAAGGGTGTGGAGGTTACCTTTATCCTCTCTCTCTGGCAGCCTGTACATCTCAATAATTTGCAAACACTTAAAAAAAAATCTGTAACCTTTACCAGCTCAGCTCAACAGCAAGAGGTCAGCCCTGTTCTGTATCTGCCATTTTAAATGCATCTTGTCTCGTAAATAAAAATACCCTACCACTTCTTTTTAACACTGAACTACAGAAACTTAGAAATATAATATTCTACCCACCAACAGCATCACACAATACATCACACATCACAAAATTTTCCATATAAAATACTTCAATCAATGCCACCTACACAAATGCATGAGTTTCCCCATCAACAATAACAAGACATGTCAGGACTGTTTTCCCTCATTGATAACATAAATACCATTCTTGAATATCAGCAAATAGGCCACATTATATTTATTCTTTTGTCACATTAAAGAACAAGAACTTCTATATAGAAGTACCTTGAAACCCTAGTTTAAAAGTCTCTGTCGCCACCTGCTGTTGACACATCATACTTACAAACACACCCAAGATCAGAACTGAGTTAATTTCACTATTGATACAACTTTAATAAATAATAATAATAATAATAATTGCTTACATTTATATATAGCACACTCCACTCAAAGTACTTTACAGGTAATGGGGACTCCCCTCCACCACCACCAAAGTGCAGCATCCACCTGGATGATGCGACGGCAGCCATAGTGCTCCAGTACACTCACCACACATCAGCTATCAGTGGGGAGGAGAGCAGAGTAATGAAGCCAATTCATAGATGGGGATTATTAGGAGGCCATGATTGGTA